CTCGTGCCCCGGTCCGGGAAGAGCCCACATGCCGCGGAGCGGCTGGGCCCGTGAGCCATGGCCGCTGAGCCTGCGCGTCCGGAGCCTGTGCTCCGCAACGGGAGAGGCCACAGCAGTGAGAGGTCCGCGTACCACAAAAAACAAAAACAAAAACAAAAAAACCCAGAATCCCCAGGTCCCTCACCTGGAGGTCCAGATTCAGCAGGTGAGCTGAGGAATTGATATTTAGTCTTATAACCAGGCAGTTTAGGAAACATCATGCTATGGCATTTCAGGCCCAATAAATGTATCACAGGGGCCTGGGGGTATGAAGCAGTGTGGGTATTTAGGGGAAGGCAGGTGATTTGCTCTGATGGGGGCATATTGTGTGGAGGAGATGGGGTGAGAGAAGCAAGCAAGGTGAGATAGCAAAGGGTCTGTGTGTCAGGGATGCTGCCACCTGGCAGCCAGTGGGGGACTGTACACAGTGGCGCCATGTGACTTTTGTCCTGAAAGACCACACAAGTCGGCCCCATAGACAGGCAGATCTGTGAGAACCATAGAGTAAAGGTCAAAGTACAGCCACACATTGTTCTAAGTGGCTCTCGCCGTGGTGTTTCAGGTCCCTCTTTTCCAAGTGCGTGTGGACCGTTGCGGACGTGAGTCCTGGGAGAGGCAGAGCATGCTGTGGCCATGCCTCTCAAAGTGGGGTCCACTCATCGGCACAAGGGTATTGGAAACGCAGAGTCTCGGGCCCCACCCCAGACCTGATGACTCTGCATCTTGATAAGCTCAGGTGATTCAGATGCTGGTTATGTTTGGAGACACTGGGCTAGAGCCTAACGGAAGGACTTCAGAGACCGCCAGCCGAACCTCCCAGGTTACAGATGATGAAACTGAGGCCCAGAAAGGGGAGTGACACACTCCAAGTCACGTGACAAATGGGCAGCAGAGCCAAGACTGGACTCCAGACATCATACCACTCATCTTGCTGTGCAAGTGTCAAAAAAACAAAACAAAGCAAAACAAAAAAACTGTTGGTTAGAACCTGATGTGGCCTCTGGAAGTCCCGGGGCCAGGCTGGGTGGAGCACTGAAAACTCAATATGGAAACCAGGTCAGGAAGGCCTCCTTCAACGCTGCCAGGCTCCCCAGGAGGTGATCAGACCCTGCCAGGGTCAGCTTTTGCCCTCTGACCATACCTTTAACGCCCTCCCCAACTACCCTCACCCCTTCTCTGGCTTCCAATCAGACAAACCTGCCACATCCCTTCTCCTCTCCCTTCTCCCCTCCATCCCCAATTTTTCGACTGGAGAGCTTTGAGAAACAGGACTGAACCACTGGGTACGCCAGGCACAGACAGAACCTGGCAAAGGACAACAAACTAAAACAAGCGTGGCTGCTGGGCTGCAGCAGCTCGTGCATCACAGTGGATGCAGGAGTCAGCACACCATCTAATCCCACGTCCTGAGGTCCAGGGAGCTCTGTGATAAGGCCGCTTCCCAAAGCCCGGAACAAGGCTCTCTTTGCATCAAGAGAGTCCCGACAGAAACGTGAGATACAGTTCTGCCAGTGCTGGGGTGCTGTTTGGGATGAAACTCGAGGCTCTGTGTGCCCTACTTTTGACCAGGGGACAGCAAGGCCTTGTTTTTGAGTTGGGTTGGGGGTCAGGTATCAAGGCCGTGAGTAACTGTCCAAATGTGTCCCCAGGTGACTGGAAAATGAGAAATGAGAGTGAGAGCTCATTCTCTCTTTGGAGAGAATGATGGTCAAGTACAAATACAAGTTTCTCTGTCGCCCCTTCACTTCCCAGATTTTGTCTACAGGAGAACAAAGGAACTAGTAGAGTACACCTTAAAAGAGTTTTCCAAACTTGGGCCAACAACTGGCCAGCCCAGGAGACTTTTTTAACCAACCTTTTGTGCTGGGCTCTATCCAGGGGTCAGCAAACTTTTTCTGCAAAGGGCCAGATAATAAATATTTTAGGCTTGTGGGCTATATGCTCCCTCTGTTGCAATTCTTCAACTCTGTATAACTAATTCAACTCGACATCGCAGTGAGAAAGCAGCCACTGAGGATATGAGAATGAACGGGCATGGCTGCGTTTCAGTAAAACTTTATTGATTAAAAACAGGTTATGGGCCATAGTCTGCCAGCCTCTGTTCTAGACCAACGGTTCTCAATCTTGGCTGTACAAGATCCTTTTTGACCCACGTCCTAGAGAAATGGAAATAAAAGCAAGAATAAACAAATGGGACCTAATGAAACTTCAAAGCTTTTGCACAGCAAAGGAAACCATAAGCAAGATGAAAAGACAACCCTCAGAATGGGAGAAAATATTTGCAGACGAAGCAACTGACAAAGGATTTATCTCCAAAATATACAAGCAGCTCATGCAGCTCAATACCGAAGAAAACAAACAACCCAATCCAAAAATGGGCAGAAGAACTAAATAGACATTTCTCCAAAGAAGATACACAGATTGCCAACAAACACATGAGAGGATGCTCAACATCACTAAGCATTAGAGAAATACAAATCAAAACTACAATGAGGTATCACCTCACACCGGTCAGAATGGCCATCATCAAAAAATCTACAAACAATAAATACTGGAGAGGGTGTGGAGAAAAGGGAACCCTCTTGCACTGTTGGTGGAAATGTAAATTGATACAGCCACTATGGAGAACAGTATGGAGGTTTCTTAAAAAACTAAAAATAGAACTACCATATGACCCAGCAGTCCCACTACTGGGCACGTACCCTGAGAAAACCATAATTCAAAAAGAGACATGTACCACAATGTTCACTGCAGCTCTATTTACAATAGCCAGGACATGGAAGCAGCCCAAGTGTCCATCGACAGAGGAATGGATAAAGAAGATGTGGCACATATATACAATGGAATATTACTCAGCCATAAAAAGAAAGGAAATTGAGCTATTTGTAGTGAGGTGGATAGACTTAGAGACTGTCATACAGAGTGAAGTAAGTCAGAAAGAGAAAAATAAATACCGTATGCTAACACATATATATGAAATATAAAGAAAAAAAATGGTTCTGAAGAATCTAGGGGCAGGACAGGAATAAAGACGCAGACATAGAGAATGGCCTTGAGGACACGGGGACGGGGAAGGGTAAGCTGTGACGAAGTGAGAGAGTGGCATGGACATATATACACTACCAAACGTAAAATAGATAGCTAGTGGGAAGCAGCCGCATAGCACAGGGTGATCAGCTCGGTTCTTTGTGACCACCTAGAGGGGTGGGACAGTGAGGGTGGGAGGGAGATGCAAGAGGGAGGAGATATGGGGATATAGGTATATGTATAGCTGATTCACTTTGTTTTAAAGCAGAAACTAACACACCATTGTAAAGCAATTATACTCCAATAAAGATGTTTAAAAAAAAAAAAAATCTTGGCTGTACACCAGAAGCCCTCAGGCTCCCCGGGCTACATGCCCCCACCCCTCAGACAGATTTAATTGGTCTGGGGTGCAGTCTGGACAATGGAACTTTCCAAGGCTACCGAGCAATTCTAATGGACAGTCAAGGTTGAGAAAGGGGACTCACCCAACTAATCTTGTTTCAACCTTTTGGGACAACTGGCAAAGCTCAACTTAAATATGCCTGTCACTTTGTGTCCAGGGAACCTACTGCGGTTACCTGATGACAAAGCTGTGTGTGTCAATCTCCTGCCCGCAGCCGCTGTTCAGCAAGACCCCGGAGTTGCCCACGATGGCACAAGTCCCGAAGTGCTTGTTCTTCAGTGGAGAGGTTCTGGGGAGCAGCTCATAGAGGTTCTGGGACACGTTCATTGTGCTGTCTCGGTCGAAGATGTAATGAATAATATCTCCGGGTTTCAGGGTCCCCTTGAGGACAGAAATGTCCTTTTCAGCATCCAAGAACTTTAAGATTTGCTTCCTATGAAAACCAAAGACACATGAGGAAAAAGTCTCCTGTCGCTACCTGCCCTTTGCCAACCCTGCTTTTCCTCTCCTTGGTCACCCTGCAGGGCCGATGCCGCCCAGCACACAGGGGCAGCTAGAGGTCAGATGCCCTCCGAGTATCTCTGGTTACACAGTTTTTAAAGTAAAATCTCCAGTTAGGATCCTCACCTTCCTAGGGGCAGGAATAAAACTTCCCTGGTAATTCTGAGAGGATTTCTATCCTCTTTCTGACCACATCTCATCCCATCTATGTGTTTGACTGGAGAATCTCCAATCTCTGGTTCTGGGCAGAGACTGGCAACACGGCCCAGAGGCTGATCTGGTCCTCCTTCTAGGAGACAGGATTTCCCTGTTTGCCCTGGGAAATGACTTCATCAGGACTGAATGTGAGCTCATCGTGAAGGGCCCTGGAAGGAAGGGTGACCTGCCATCCTGGTTTGCCTAGGAAAGCGTGGTTTTAGACTGAAAGCCTTGTACCCCAGGGACAAACTGTACCTGAGTCTTGGGCAAACCCAGGCCATGGTCATCCTATCTCATACTCCCCTCTCTGAGTGCGATTCAGGGCCACCATCTGACAGGCAGTCCTGAATTAGGACCTGGAAACAGGAATGACAGGGGTCCCTCATTCCTCAGTGGCCTATTTTCTTTCCTGGAAACCTTCTCTGGGCACAGGGGCCTCGCAGGGGGCGAGTGGGTGTGTGGACACTGTGAGGTGTGTCAACCACTCCCCATTTGCAGGATTGCAAACATGGCCTGCCGTCCGTGCACTGGTCCTTTCTGTGCTGTGTGCTCCCTGGCCCTCCTCACTGCTGGCTTGTTTGGAGTTTGTAAATATTGATACCTCTCTGGTCCCACAGAGCAGCGTTGCTTTGTGTTGTTTCAGAACAAAGGTGATCAAAAGACAGCTCTCTAGGCTTCAGCGTGACTTTGATTTAGGGGGAAAGCTCCAGAATCATCTAGCAAAGCACATAGAGGGGATGGGATGTGGTCAGAAAAGGGATAGGAATCCTCTCAGAATCACCAGGGGAGTTTTATTCTTGCCCCCAGGAAGGTGAGGATCCTAACTGGAGGTTTCACTTTAAAAACTGTGTAAACTGCCCCAAAGATTTTTAGAAATAATTCAAGTCATCCAGAGAAGGAAATCTGGTACCCAGATCACCTGGAATTAATTTCATTTCCTGCAGCTAGCGAGCCCCCATCTAGAACAGACACAATGATGCTGTTCTTTTCCACCAAGCCCCAGAGGAACAGGACCTTCACACGCTTTGCAAATGTGAGGATTTGCAAGGTGGCTGCCCCATTGTACAGATGGTAACACTGATCCCTGAGAGCCTGTGCGATCTGAGATGGTCACAACCTGTGGTGTATCCCAGCAGGATGCACATTCAATTATTTGGGGAACTATAAAGAATTCGGAAGCTCCAGGCTGACGCCTGAGAAATCCTGATTCTGAGTGTGGCCCGGGTCTCAGCATGCTTTCAAAGGCTCCGCAGGGGACTCTAAGGTGGGTCCAGGTTTGGGAGCCTCTGGCGTCACCAAGGGGCACCTAGAATGCTTGACAGGGCACAATGCTCCTGTTCCACTGGTCTTGCCTTATTAATAATCTGGATCTCGTGCTTTCATGCAGGGGAAACCACTCGATGAATAATTTGTATCTCTTGATGGAAAACAGAGATACAACAGAAAACATCGTTTTTATTTATAGTGCTTTACCCGGGATTACACAACTTTACAAACTAATATGGTCTGGAAATTGCTGAAACCTTCGCAGTTACTTACCCCCAGAGTATTTAAAAGCAAAGAGAGCCCCCAGAAAGCCCACAGATAAACTCCTCTGTGGATGAATTAATTTGTAACTAATTGTGAGAAATTACTACTGATTATTAAACATCATTCCAAATCACTCACAGAATCTTTATTATGAATAATTTTGGTGACTAATTGAAGGAAGATGAAGGAAATCCTTATCCCCTCTGGGTGAAGCCACATTGTTCCTGCCGAGGTAGCTGTGTGTTTGCAGAATCCCCATGGCGGTCACAGTCTGGTCTTCTCCGAAAGGGGGAAATATCCTTTTCTCTACCCAGTGGTGGGAGAAAGAGTGAGTGGAGATTGAGGTGGGCTTGTGCTGGCAGGAGGATTTCACTCACAGGTGGTGGAGTGGGGTGAATAGTGGCCTCCCAAATATATGTTCACCTCCTAGCCCTGGAACCTGTGAGGTGCTTTATTTGGAAAGAGCATCTTTGCAAACGTATTTAAATTAGGGATCTTGAGATCATCCTGATTACCCTGATGGGCCTTAGATCCAATGACAAGTGTCCTTATCAGAGATAGGAGAGGGGACACACAGACACAGAGCGAAAGGCCACGTGAAGACAAGGCGAAGACTGGAGTGACATGGCTACACGGCAGGGAATGCCTGGAGCCAGCAGAAGCTGGAAGGGGCAAGGACAGATTCTCCCCATGAGCCTTCAGAGGGAGAGCTCAGAATTCTGGCCCCCAGAACTATAGGGGAATCCATTTCTCTTGTGTGAAGCTACTGAGTTGGTGGAAATTTGTTACAGCAGTCCGAGGACTCGTGCTTCACAGGGTTGCTGACCAGGGGTGAATAACGCAGGTTGACAGCTGTTGGGGTGTAAGATGAAGGCCGAGGGCCCAGCCAGGGGCCCTCAGAAGAGGCCTTGAATGAGGGGAGGCAGAATGGTGGTGACAGGAGTCAGCTCCTTCAGATGCTTTCTTAGCTGCTAGGGCTCCAGTCTCACACCTCTCTACTCCCCACACTTCCTCAGGCCCCAAATCCAAGCCTCAAGAACCCGGAGGTAGGAGCATTTTGACGGTGAGCCCACCTGAAGGGGGAAGCTCCCTGCTCTGTATGGTGGCTATGGTCAAGGCTGACCGCCATGTCCCAGCCCCCTGTTCTCAGCTTCCTCTCCATGACGATGGGCTGGGAAGGTGGGGCTGTGATAGTCCCGTCTGGTCCTGGTTACTGCACTGAGTTCATCACCCCCATTCCCTCCTCCTGATGGGTGCTCCAGCAACACAGCACAAACACCAGACTTCAGGCAGCAGCTTGGCAAGCCTGGCAAACTCCTAATTATCCTTCAAAACCCATTGCTCCTGGCAAGCCTTTCCTGGCCAGCCCTCTTAGCCCCCTTACAAAATGGAGTACTCTCCTCAGTATGATCTATCTCCACCTATTTATATGAGGCAACACCGCCTCATGCGTACATCACACTGCCCTGCTCTATCTTTGTTACATTTGTGTCTCCTGCCAGCATGTCTGATACATGTCAGCGCCCCCGGCTCCCAGCACAATGTCTGCAAGTGAATGGTTGGGTTATACTGACCACTCTCTGCTGCGTCTATCACAGCTCTGTCAAAGTCAAGTGGCCAAAGTGCTGACATTGGAATCCCTTCCATACAGTTCCCCATTCCCGCCACCCAGCAATGCCTGCACTGCTCTGGAAACGTCACTCTGCAAAGATCAGGACAAGAGCTGCTCTCTGGCTAAAACAGACCTCTCCCTTTGTGGTTAGGTGTCCCATCGGCTCCTGGGTCACCTGATGCTCAATTGTAGCTTTTCTTCATGTCATCAGGGAGTGGCTGCCTACTCAAGCCACACGGGCTGCGGGAGGAGACAGCTCTCCAAAGACAAATGGGAGGACCATCGCCGCTGAAAGGGGATGGATGCCAGGCAAGGACTGCTGCTTTGGGGTCCTCTGGGAGAAGCCATCTGTGATCCCCGCCCCCAGCTGCCCCAGGTTCTCACTGCTGCTGACCCAAGAGCCTCACTCCCTCCAAACCCAGGACCTCAGCCAGTTGCTCCTGTCACTTCCCCGGCCTGAGTTGCCGCACACATGTGCTGGGCTGCTGGCCTTGCCTGAGGTTTTTATTTCCAATTGATCAGTGAGAGATGAAACCTGCCTCAGCGGGAGGTAAACATTTTATTTCTATCCTGACTTCTTTAGATGATGGAGAGCGGCAATTTGCCAGCTTGTGCCAAAGAAGGCCAAGTCTGTCTCTTGTCCTAGAGGTAATTACCACTACCTGATCCTCAGAGAGAGCGTTTGGTTGTGTCTCCACTTGGCCGAGGCTGGTTGGATGTTGCGCTTAAAGCCTTCATTGCTTCTGTCAACAACAGCCGGCGACGAGGAGCCATTTATTACAACTTCAGCTCTGGAAGGGGGAAAAAAAAAGAGGAGGAGGGGAGACATGATCTGTTAGCAAGCCAATGACAAGTCTAATAGTTTTGTTTTTGCACAAGCTTGAATGTAAACTTCTTTGGAGGAGCAACATTGCAGTTATTACCTGAGAAGGGAAGGAAGTCTATTTATCTTCTAGGATGCACCAACTCTCTCCCTCAGGTATTACCTACATATATTCTGGGAGACAGGAAGGGGGTGATGAACTATCTTTCTCCCCACCCCCAGCCCCCAGTGTTTCCTCCCAGTGAAACGTAGCCGTCACTGTCGTAATAATAATACTTCTTCAAGCCGCTTCTGTGAAACTCTGAAGAGCAGTTGCGTTAACAGCCAAGTATCATAAGATGGTTTACAAACTTAATAAAGAGGAAACAAAAACTCATGTTGGGGCAATGGGATGTAGCTTTATCTCATTATCCCTTGTCTGTAAGATGCCACTTCAAACGTCTGTGTAGTTCCAGAGTTATCCGAGCTCTGTTTCTCTCTCCCACTAGACTGTAAACGGGCGAGTTCCCTCACTCATATCTATATTCCCCAATGGTCTAACATAGCAGCTGCTAAATAAATGTTTGTTGAATTTGAATTTGAATTTGACCTTGTGTGGGGGGGTGCCTGGATGGATTGAAGTTGCTGGCTGGCTCTGAATGCCCGGGGCCAATCATAATTCTGGGTGCATACCATCTTTCCACCTGACTCAGGCATTACAGGACCCGCTTGAATTCAGATGTTTGAAATCTATGCTGGTAGGTTTCTATGAAACTAGGTTACGATTACATCTCAAAAGGCAGTGTAGGAGCCAGCCTGCCTCTGCCGGATGCACACAGATGCATGTGGGTCACATCGCCAGTTCCTTTTGTCTGTGCTGACAGCAGATTCTCTCAGTTAGAATGATAAGTGGATTTCTGATGCCAAATTCTGGAGCTTTAAAGAATTCAAACCAAACAACTATGTCCTCTGCGTTTATCTTGGAACAGCCAAGTTAGAAAAGATGAAATCCTTTTAACAAGTCTAAACCCAACGCTCTATTTTGCTTTTTGTAGGTAGAAAGGAATTTATTGGGGGGTGCACTTTCTCCCCACATATCTCCATTCCCAATATTCCTGACTCCTCTGGCCGATATTACTTGTCTGGGATTCAAAAATATGTAACTTTTGCAGAGAACAGAAAATTCAAGGGTTTTGAGCAAGGTGGATGCATTCCTACAGCCTGCAGGCTTAAAGGGAAGCTATGAAAGGAAACAAAAGACCTGACCCTTTGCAGTTTTTGCTGTTTTCATGAACAGAAGCAGAGGGTGTAGTGAAAAGATTTCAAAAGCTGTGTGACTACGGGCAAATCACTTTATCTCTCTGAGCCTCAGTTTCCCCACTTATAGAAAGAAGGTATAGAAGAGGAAGACATCCTCTGGATGGGGACTGGGTATGGTCCAACCATAGCCAGTGGCAAGCCTGAGTTTGTTGGCTTGCAAAGCATTTGCTCACACTCCTGTATCAAGCTGTCTTCTGGCCAAAGACTGTCATCCGAGGAAACACTCTTAGAATTTAGAGTGTGCTTTCAGTAATCAAGGTTAACATTTCTGAATTGACTTCCTAAATATTTTTAAGAGGTCTCAGCAAAGTTCCTGAATGCTCTATTTTCTATCTTTACCTCCTGGACAACCCATCTACCACAATGAAATTGGGTGAAAGTCCTGATTCCTTTCAGAGTCTCCATTATTCGGCAAAAATTCAAGTTATGAATAAGCTCATTGGTGGCTCAAGTGCCTCCAAGTGAGTGGGCTCTTTTGCAGAAAGAGACTCTTACTCATCTGAATTTTCTATCTCTGCAGCCTCTAGACCTTGGGCCATTTCACGGGCTCCTCCTATCGACAACTCCCCCCGCCCCCACAAAAGTGATTAGGCAAATGCAAAGCCAAAGTGAAACGAAACAGATCTCTTTGCTATTTGCTAAGTAAGAAGGGCACCATCCAGCAAAGGGGAGAAGCAGATTAATAGCTGCCTTACAGCAAAAACAAATGAACACAAAATCTAATTTACAAACCTATTAGATTTGCTATGTAAGCTGTTCACAGCTGATCTGATTGTACCTCTGCCTCCAGAATTCCTGCAAGACAAAGGAAATGCATTATTTATAAACCCAACTCTTCTTTGCAAAGCCCTCTTCAGTTGCCAGATCATCTCACAGCCCGCCTTGGAGGACTACAGAGGGACAAGGAAATCTCACCTAGGCCTCTCCAGAAATGGGCAACCTCCTGGCCCAGCCACAAACCCAGGCATTTTCAAGGAAGTAGACTTAGACCTCCTAGATCCTCCCCGACCTCTCACTTGAACATTGTTTCAATTCTCACCAAGGTTTCCACTTGAGAATTTCATTTGAGCTTTGAGACAAACTCCTTTGTCTCCTCTGGTTAATCCCATAGGCTAGCACGCTTGAGCCTGACTAAGCACCTGCTGCAGCATGACTCAGTATTTCCTTTAGCCGGACTCATCATTTGCCCCTGGTCTTCGCTGGCCGTCACTCACCTGGGGTAAGACGTTGTCCATCATATTATCTCCAAACTTGAGACATCAGAAGTCCAACAGAGGCAGCAAGACTGACTCAACCAGTGCCTCCAACCAAATGTGAGAATGATTTGCTTTTTGGGGGCAGGAAAAATAATATTAAGTGGTGTCACTTTACCAGGGAGCAGGAGATGGGTGAGTAATGGGGTCCTTTGCGTCTTCCTCTGGAGGAAAAGGGTTTTGGAGTAAAAGCATTCTAAGGCCCTTTCCAGCCCCACCATCTCTTCAGTTCTGTCAGATTCCATTCTGGATGGGGGCCATGAAGTTTCACCCTGCTTTGCTAATCACACTGGGCCAAGGGGAGAGATGAATCCATCTGCCCCTGGTACCCAGCCCACTTTGTGCTCTGTGTGTGTTTTTTTAAAAGTTGTATGTGAGACTAATTATTTTTATTAAGTTAAATAATTTTTTCACCACTGATTTATAGGATATGTGGTTTGAGGGGATATTTCTTCACACTTTTCTCATTTTTTTTTTTTTGGAGAGCTATAATTTTTTTGTGATTTTATTTTAATTTTTGAATTAACTTTTATTGGAGTATAGTTGCTTTACAATGTTGTGTTAGTTTCTACTGTACAGCAAAGTGAATCAGATATATGTATACCCATATCCCCTCTTTTTTGGATTTCCTTCTCATTTAGGTGACCACAGAGCACTGAGTAGAGCTCCCTGTGCTATACAGTAGGTTCTCATTAGTTATCTATTTTATACATAGTATCAATAGTGTATATATGTCAAGCCCAATCTCCCAATTCATCCCACCCCCTTTTCTCCCCCCGGTGTCCATACGTTTGTTCTCTACGTCTGTATCTCTATTTCTGCCTTGCAAATAAGATCATCTATCATTTTTTAACATCTATCATTTTTTAAAAGTTCCATCTAGTCTTTCAGCCAAGGTGTTGGCACACTCCAAAGAAATAATTAAAATCACTGCAAAAGCTGTATATTTAAAGAATCCTGTGATTTAATAAGAACTCTTTGGGGGAAGTTAATGCCTAACTCCTCACTGGTTTTAAATCTGGATTTTTCTATCTGCTTTCTTTAGGATTCACATACTTGTAGATATAACATTGTGTGTGTGTGTGTGTGTGTGTGTGTGTGTGTGTGTGTGTGTGTGCGCGCGCGCACGTGTGTCTTTTCCTGATAGACTGAAATGTCCTTTCAACATTATTTGGCAACAGGAAATATTCTGCCTCATAGCTGGATGACCAGGCAACAGGACGTGTGCTATGACTCACCCAGTGCCTCATCTCAGGTCTCCCTTCAGGTCTCAAATTTCATTACACACAGTCTAATTCTTAATTACACAGAGTATCATTGGTTCTTCACATTTAAATCAATGTGTAATATCTCTTTTTTGTCTCTCTTCATTTACCCTTGGGATGGTGGCATTCTCACAAGTCTAATCCAAGGGTCTGGGAATACCTGGCCATCTCTGGCCTGTAGCCATAATCTACTTAAGTCAGCGCCCAAGGGCTTTCCTGGGCCTGCTGCTGTCCACATGACACTGACCTTTCACATGTCCTGACCCTGACCCCAGTCCTCAAAATCAGCACTCCTTGGGGGAGGGAAGACTTGCTGGGCCAGATATTAAGTCAAGTAAGTAATTAAAAGTGTGGTCATAGCTCAATACTAATGAGAGGTTATTGGAACAAAAAAGATTGTCTAGAAATGCTGCACGTGAGAATTGATGTATGATTTTAAAAAATCATTATCAATGAGAAATTCAATAAATGGTTTTAAGTAGTTGATTAATAATCTGGAGGTGAGTTGGAGGGAAATCATGTAAGTGTTCCCTGACTTATAAATTTTAAGTGGATTTAACTAGTGTTTCTCAGACTTTAGTAATTCTCATATTCCTATCAGCAGTTTGCCATATTTTGTTTATCACCCATACTACTACCTACTGAAGTTTTAAAATTGACTCATCTTTTAAAACCTTCTTAACCTACACAACACCATCCGTGAAAATATGGGTTTGATATCATGATTATATGCTCATTTGAAAAGAACACAAAACCATTACCACAAAAATATTTATCAATGGAATTCCTAAAATCATCTTACTTATTACCAAGCATACTTACAGCACCTCTGGGGAAGACTGAATTAAACAGTTAAATATTTAAAGAAGGCAACCCATACAAAATTGGTAAGAAAATGGAAGAGGATATTTATCAAATCTTGATGAGGTATGAGGAATATGTGTGAAGGACTTTTAAAATTCAGAAGTGGAAGAAGAAATCCTAACAGAAAATACAGTTAAAAAAAAAAAATCTTCATAAAAATGTAAAATTCTGCTTATACAAACAGCAAACCTCAACAAACTCTGCTCAGCATCCTTCTTGAAATCTGAGAGGACTCCAGGTGAGGTGAGCACTTCATCTGTGCATCTATCTGGTTTAACACAACCAGGGGTTCGGAGAGGACTCAATGCTGAGCAACAGCTTCCTCCTGCTTTCTCTTCTCCTGCCTCCAGGCCAGGTCCTGGAGAGCATCCAGTCCTGCTGACTTGGGCACCACAAACCACGCACTTTTTCATACCAATCCTTCCTCTAACTCTGGGTTTCCCCACCTCGGCACTATTGATATTTCAATGTTGGTGTTGGGGGTTGGGGGTTGGGCAGCTATCTGTGCACTGTAGGGTGTTCTAGCTGCATCCCTGGCCTCTACCCACTTTATGCCAGGAGCAGCCCTCCCCCCACCCCCAAATTGTGACAACTAAAAATGCCTCCAGACATTGCCAAATGTCCCCTGGGGCAGGGAGGCAAAATGGCCTCCATTTGAGAACCTCTGCTTTGACGTTTGTTTTCCACCTGATGCCTCTGAGAGGATGAATCCCCTCCATCAGCCAACCCATCCCATCACCTTCCTATGCTAAACCCCAAGCCCAACACCTGTGCTTCCCCTCAAAGCCATCTTAGTTTTCAATTCTCAGCCACCTTTTCCTTCTCTTCCTAAAGCATTCTATTACAGCATTTGTCACCTTTTCATATTTAATTATTTCATGGAATGACAGATGGGAGACTTTAAAGAAATTTTGTCATTGACATAGTCTAAACTCCCCCTCTTATAGTTGAAGAAACCAAGGTCTAGAGATTTGGTTCTGGTTTCATCTTCCTCAGCTGCTCGCCACACTAGAAGGGAAGCCCCTGGATTGTGTGCATTAACCATGTCTTTTATTTTCTTTATCTGATGCTTTGACATCTGGGACCTTGCTGACTGTGGAGGGACAGCTCCTCTCAGGGTTAGCAAATAACTAGAGATAGTAAACAACTGGCCTGGGAGTGCACCTTTCAAATACAAATCAACTAATCTAGAGCCCATACCCCTGCCACCTCCCTTAGTGGAATCTTATTCTCTGGGCCACTATCCACCTGCCATAATCACCTGGAGCTAGGTACCAGACATCTATGCATCTATCTGGTTTAATATAACGAGGGGTTACAGTTGTCCCAGACAGGTAGGACAGCTCCTATGCCCCAGAGTCTGCTGAAGTTATCCAAACTAGCCAATCCTAAGCCTGCTTACCCTGCCTCACCCTTCCTTCCTATGGAAACCACAATAAAGGCTTTTGTCCACAGTTCCCCCTCCCTCCTAAGTGACCTGGTGCTACTCCATGTGGCCCTGCATGATGTGGTGTGCCACCCCTCTTGGAATGTGGGAGTATAACACACTACATTTTCAATGGTGGTCATCTCCTGATCTGTTGGCCTGACCATACCTAAATAATAATAAAACCTATATTAAAACAGGGGCACCCTGTTTTGTTCACCTTCCCGGCCTTGTCCAGCTGGGGCTTTGTCCAGCTGGGGCTCAGTGAATCAAATCTAACTTCAGTGCTAAGTGGGACTTTTCTTCCAAAGTCTTCCCTGCAGTTTGCATGCTGCGTTCACACATATTACTTATACCTGTACAAGGCACAGTTTCACCTCTCAGATACCCAGAGAACGGGGCAGACTGTCATTCAAAGAAACTCAGGTTGCAGATAATTTGGCTCAAAATGAATCACATGAATTGGCAAGGGATTTTTTTTTTTTCAATTAGGTTTTGCCTCCATTGTTATTAAAATAAGCTTGCATCCCTTGTGATTGGGGAATGCTGATACCTGCTTGGTTGAGTGACAGAGGAAGATGATCAGGTGAGAAAAATTTGCTAAAGATAATTCATCAACTTCTGAAATCATAGAAACAAAGATGCTTAGGTCATCCAAATGAGAAAATATATGGGAAAGCTCTTTGCACACTATAAAGAACTCTATAAAACAAGGTATAATATTAGTAATAATCCCTGTCCACTTGACCCTACCCAATATTCCCAGCCATAGTGAGGATGGAGTCTGATTACTCCAAAGCTCTACATTTTAAGATGTCAGTCTCCTTTCCACCATGAACATAATACTCTTTCCGAGCAGTAAACTAAGACAAAAAATAAAAATAGCCTCTTTAAAAAAATAATAACAGGGACTTCCCTGGCGGTCCAGTGGTTAAGACTTTGCCTTCCAACGCAGGGGGTGCGAGTCCAATCCCTGGTCAGGGAGCT